CTAAATAAAACATCTTGTCTCTTGCTGTCTCTTAATGACTAATCTGTAGAGAGGAGATATATGTAAACATAGGAAAAAATATTTTAAAATGTATCATGTGGCTATCCTTGACTCTTCATAATTCAGGGCTGCCTAAAACCATGGACTCTGGAACATTTACATCATAACCATCTGCAGTACTAGTTAAAATGCAGGCTCCTGGGCTCTGCCCCAGATGTACTGAACCCAAGTTTTCGGGGGTGGGTCCCAGGAATCTGAGTTTTACATAGATTCCCACATGACTGACTCTTATGTACAGAAAAACCTTAGAGATTTTGGAGCTATAGATTTCTAGCTTTCTGCTTTTTGGTCACTGTACTACTGACTAGCTGCCTGGGTGGCACAAACGGTTAAGCGCTCGACTACTAGCTGAAAGGCTGGTGGTTCGAACCCACCCAGGGGCACCTCAGAAGACAGGCTTGGCGATCTGCTTCTGAAAGGTCACAGCCTGGGACTCTATGGTGCCGTTCTATCCTGAACACATGGGGTTGCCATGAGTTGGAATCAACGACTGCAACTAACAACAACACTACTCATTAGCACCTTTACCAGAGGACAAGTGAAATAATAAATGCAAATGCACCTCAGTTTCTATAATGGTGAATGTGAATCTCCTTTATAACTCCTTACCTGATTTCTTTTCAGCAGACCAAAAGAAACTTTTCCTGGCCCTGGGTGAATTTAAGATTCCCATGACTAGTCCCTCTAATCAACTCCCCTAAAACACATTAAATCATGACATTTTTCCTTTTATAGTCCATCCATATACTGGCTTAATGCTGTCCATTGTGCCCTCTGTATATCCTTTATTTATATATTAGTTTATTGGAATCATCTTTAAAAAATATACTTTTAGACTTTCACAGTATATAGTAGATCTTGTACATGTTTTTATAAGAATACCTAAGATAGCAAATGAAGCTATTCAACTGCACATTTAAAAGTGCTTTTTATCTTTAATAAATGCTTTTTGATGATGACAGAATTCTCATTTCTGTACTACCCCTTATCATGTGGTAACTGTAATTTGGAAAATAGCAGACTGGCACACTGACCACACTCTGTAGATCTCAATAAGATGGTTTTGTTCTCAAAGGGCAGACTTTTCAAACAGCAAGTAAGTACCACACAAATGAAGATAAAGCTAAGTCTTTCAATAGTGTACTGGTTGGCTTTCTGATAATATCACTCATTTAGAAAATCAAAACTAAACCTATGTAATCTAATAGTAGATATGCTTTCTCAAGTGATTCTTTAAAGCAGTTAACTTTATAGGAAGTGGTTCTGGTTTTTTAAGTGAATTCCACAAAACTCATGCTCCTTTAATTGACGTTTTCTTAATCGGGGTCATTTTCTGTTGATGTGTTAAGAACCATTCTTTATTAAGTATTCAATTAAAACTTCTACTTTATACTATTACATACTTCAGCAAATTAATGAAGATTCATTGTTTTTCTTGGCTAATTCTTTCATTAAGACAAAATTTTACCTGGTATTTAGTATTAAAAAGTATTCAGATGTTAAAAAGTAGTAGGAATAAATTATTGCAAAACTAGGCAACAGGAACTTTATTCATTGAATGGTTAGAAAGAATATACTAATGATTATCAAAAAGTCCTCTGAGAAATAAAAGATTCTGAAAAATTAAATAGAATATACACCAACCAAGAATAATTTGATGAAAGTGAATTTAAAATTTCTTAAAATTATACTTAAAATGTTAATAGTCAAAATGCTTTTCATACCTGGTGTTTCTTAAAAATAATCCTATGCTGATTAACATTAATAAATATGAGACTAACTTTAGCTTTTCTCTTCATAAACTCAAAAAAAGCAACCATCACAGAAGAAAAGGAGGTCACTCTAAAATCTCATAGGGATTTCAATTTTGTCATTAACAATTAAATAATATACGAGCTTAGATACATAAACCATTAATCCCACTGGGTAATATAATACTGAGCACTACAGTTAAAAATATTAACACAATTCACTAAAGTGGTAAACTGTTAATTTCTGTTATTATAACATAAACAGTAATTGTTGACATTTCATTTTAAATGAAATTAAGCACAGGTACAGCTTTTATTAACAATACTTTGGACTTGTTACTAAGCATGAAAAAATGGCAAAAAAAATGATATATATAGAGGATAATTTTGATCAATTTCTGTATGAAAACCACAAATAACTCTAGGTGTTTGTCACCTTGAAGCTTTCTAAATTTTAGAACATAATCACAGCCACACTTCAGAACTATAAAAGCAAAAGTTTCCAATTGAAACTTTTCCAGTTAAGTATGGTGGGACCTGAGAGGCAAGTTAAGGCAGCACAGCCTGTTTCTAATCATAGACAGGTATTTTATTCACTTTTTGTCTCTGTACCAACTTCGGCTCCTCCCTCAAGTAACAGAGCCAAACACCAGGCTGCTGATGAGAGGGCTAGAATTGAAGAGCATCAAGGTATTGTGGATGTATATGAGGACCATTCCCCTAAAGCTAAACAGAAGTGGTTCTTATTTGTGTATCTCTCCTGTATTAGCATGGATAATTGAGAATTGACTCTAATTGTAATTTAGATCACTTGAACTCCAAGACAAGTTATAGGCAAGCTATGCTTTAATAAGAATTACACAACTGTAGTAAGTGTCTTTTTAGTCAACCCCCCAATAGGAAAACAGCTTTCATATTTTTTGGCTTGCAGAAGGTAATTTGACTTTTTCCTTCTAAGAAAAAAAAAAAAAATTCTGAAAGGCCGCCTTTGCTTTCAGAAAAGTTTAAAAAAATCCATACACAAACAAAAAACTAGAAGTTCCAACATAAACAATGTTATCCTATGTCTTTTTGTGCACTACAAGAGAACATATTAAAACAAGACTGCAGTGTTACTACACAGTAGATGGATCAGGTTAAATTTCACACTGCATAAGCCAAAAATTACAATTGACATATGGAATTTTAGTGTTCTAGTAATTTAAATAATTGAAAGAACCCATAAATAAAGTAAAATAGCTTATGTTACATAAAATCACCCAGGAAAATGAAAAAAAATTAAAATAGAAAACTCAGAACCAAAATATTTTCACTGAAAAGGGTTCTGCTCATTTTTTCTCTCCATTTGAATAAAACTAACTGATAGAGTTGTATTTGCATGGTGGTAGCAGCATGATGACTTTATATCCATTTTCTTTTTTCATCACAACTCTATGTGAGATAGGGCTTGTAGTAAGGCAAGAAATTGAAACATCAGACCTCTTGAGCAACTTACCCTCCTCTTAAAAAAAAAAAAAAAAAAGTACCAGGTAAATCTGTGTTTTGACTAGCATATAAAGTTTTCATTCTGTCACAATTAGCAGAATAAAGTTAGGCAACTCTGTATAATGGCAGAACAAAGACTAGAACTCAGTTCTTCTGATGTCAAGTTCAATGTTCTTCCATAGCTATCATGGAATTTTGTTTCAATCCACCTTCTTTTCCCTACCACCCATTCCCAAACAGATGAGGAACTTAAAGCCCATAAGGACAGACTATAACTAGCCCAAGACTACCAAGCCTGGTAATGGCAGAGCTGGGACAAAAACCCAGCTCACCTCTAGCACCCCTTAAACTGAGTCTCTCTTGCCCTTGTAGCGCGGTGGTTAAGAGCTCGGCTGCTAATCAAAAGGCTGGCAGTTCAAATCCACCAGCTGCTCCTTGGAAACCCTATGGGGGCAGTTCTACTCTGTCCTATAAGTCACTATGAGTCGGAATCGACTTGAGGGCAATGGGTTTTGCCTGTGTTAATTAACATAAAAAAATTTTAATGTTTGAAGGACTTATCTTTGACTCCAAATTTATTTTCTATAGTATTTGACAATTACATAAAAGGGGTACAATTAACATAGTATTTACATATTTTGAATGGCAGAAATATGCCATCAGAGGAATTGAAGATGGTTTGCAATGAATTCCCTTAAGCTCACAGAGAGCTATGCAACAACTGCATGCTTGTTTAAGGGGTAATTATTATTTTTATAACCACTTTCATTTAAAGCCACTGGCATTCATAAGAATACAAACAGAACAAATATATTAATCACATTTTCTGTTCCTTTGACAAATGACTTGGATCTCATGCTTGGTGGTAAAGATATTCTTGGTCTAAAAAACCGAAGCTGCATTTAGCCCCAGGTTGGTTGTCTAAACTAAAACATAGCAAACGAGTTGTTGTCAAGTAAATGTCGACTAAGGGTGACCCCATGTGTTATAGAACAGAACTGTTTCATAGGGTTTTCTTGGCTGTAATCTTTATGGAAGCAGATCACCAGGCCTTCTTTCCATGGCATCACTGGGTAGGTTCAAACTGCCAACCTTCAGGTTGGTAGTTGAGCATAAACCATTTGCACCACCTAGAGACTTGTGTTAGTTGTCTAGCAGCTCCTTATTAACTGGCAGCAGCCTTAGGGGATAGCTGTCAAAAGGAAATCAATATGAAGCACCCAAACTTCCCCCTTTCCAAGTAAAAAAGTCCAATTCCACTGCTTTATAAGATAGTTCTTCCTGGAAAGCCACTTAATCTGGTGAAACAGTCTCAACCATATCTTACAAACGGTATCTTTACATATCCCAAGGTATGATTCCCTGTATCTTTCAGCAAAGTCCATAGCAGTATAGCAATAATGCTATGAAATGGGCAAAAGGGCCTTAGCCCAAACTGAGTTTAGTCAAACTTTTTGCTTCAAAAATTTTGGTTGGTGTTTTTATTGGTAACTGGTGGTTCAAACCCACCAGCTGCTCTGGGGGAGAAAGATGTGGCAGTTCCACTCTGTCCTATAGGGTTGCTATGAGTGGGAATCAGCTCAAAGGCAACAGGCTGGGTTTTTGGTTTGTAGATGCAATATATCCAAATATATCATTAGGGAGAAAAGAGGGGAGGGGCTTACATTCACAAGTTATCTCTACATCACCTGTTAGTGAACTCACCTGTATATACTATCTTGGCCAGAAGGGACTACACCTACGTTGGCTACATTTACTACCTTCTGAAGTATCACAGTGGGAGTGAAATTCTGTGGTGCGGCAATAATTATAGTAGAAGTTTCATTCATTCCTGTTAGCATTCCTGTAAAAGCAAAAAAAGGTTCCCTTTACTAATTTCTTTATGAAAATCACATTAAAACAATTTTAGCCTCATAGCCAAAATTAAACATTTTTTCAAGAAACACTACTCCAGAATGTGACTTACAAGATAATTATCATAAAATTAAACTATAACTGTTTCAAAAATTTTTTAAAAATTCCATTGTGTTAGAAAAATGTGTGAAAAGGGACATCGCTCTTAATGAATTTGATTTTAAGTACTATAAGGATACAAATGTAGAAGCACAAAGATGAACTCTTACTCTCTTTAAAATATCCTCACTCTGCGTTATATAAGCTATTTACTGTTTAAGCATATATATACATATATGTAAATATATACAATGTATCTTATATACGTTTTCTTTTTTCTTAAAGTGCTCATATCGTCAAATGCTGCTTGAGAACGAATACAAGTGATTCTGTAACTACTAGCAGCATTACTTGATGTTAATATGATGGATCAAAGTTACCTCAACAATAATAGTCACTGACCGATTAAGTGGTTCTAAAAAATGTACACATTTGTAAGCTACACTTAATGATAACGGTATTTGCTTAGTGAATGGAACGATAGTTGTCAACAAAAACAGCAACCAAAGTTTCTGAAGCAAAAAGTCTGAAAACAGGAAAAATATGACTGGAAAATCTAAAATCCCAGAGACATTTCAAATAACATTTAGAAAAGAAAACAAGTTAAACAAAATCATAAACAAAAACCATAGAGATAACACAAGACATGCCATTAATCTCATATAAAAATATTCAGTGAACAAATGTAATAATATATCAAACACTCGGAACAATACTGAAATTTGGTATCTGCATTAAAAAGAACAAAATAATTATAATAAATGTCATCCATTTGGATCTGTGATTTAAGTCGTCTATACCTAAGGGAATCTAGTAAACTGATAACCTTTTGAGACATACTATGTACAGAAGTTAAAAAAAATTACAAAAAACTATAAAATTTGACTTCATGTTTTCAAAAGGCCCTTGTACTTTGAGGCCCATGTATTTAATTATTTATTGCAAATACAACCTGAAATGTAACAAAATCTGCGATTAACAGTATGAAGACATTAAAGGCTAACACTGTAAAAAAGACGCCATAAAATAGTAAATAGAAATATCTTGTTTCTAACAAAGAGCAGTTTTTACTATCCACTTTCAAACTCGGGGAACACTACGTTCTGTCTTAGACTGTTTTACTTCAATATTAGGCAAAAGCTTTAAAAACTACACTAGCAGTCAAACACTGCTTTTAAGTAAAGGACATAACACTGCTGAGAGATGTGTGTACTCATTTAGGATTTAAACCTTCTCCATTAAGCTCTATTGAAGAGCAACTGCTGAATAAATGAATGCAACTATGTTTATGTTAAAAGCCTGTTTCCCCCCCTGCAGCATGTAATTAAAGGAAATGTTGTACAAAGCCAGTACTTTTGTCAAGCTCCTGTAAATGGAAAGATGGATAGCACTCAGAGAAGTGAATGCATTGCTTCATATTTAACCTTAACACTCTTGTCATTAATGGTTTGTCTAACTTCTTCTATAAAAGACAAGGTACTGCTCCATTGAAGTAAAATTAAAAAAATCAACTAAACCATGCTTTTCAGAACAGAAGATTCATTATCGTCAGCTAATGTATTGGCATAAAGCAAAGTAACATCCTATCAAGTAAGGCACACATTCAATCTGCCTTCCCACCCCCCTTTATTTTTAACTCATGCTGTTTTATTGTTATAGGCAATTTGTACCACTCAGCATGACAGTGTAAACTGAATCAAGATTAATTTACATGCAAAAGAACACTTAGGAGAGCAGCATGGTAAGCAAATGTATTGTCTCGATTGCTGAGGTGGAAAAAGAACCTGGAAAGAAAAAAAGGTGCTCTAATTAAGGGGCATCAAATATGATTGCTTGTGGTAGTTAAGGGCCAGAAAATAGTAAATGTCTGACCATTTAAAGAATTAGCATCTTGCTGGCTAGGAACCCATAAGATGGATGCATAAATCATAATAAAATCAAGTAAACATTCTAGGTTTCTTAAACCAGAGATTTTTCTAAATGAAAACGTATCAGGTATTCTCAAATTAACAAGAAAGAAAAACATGCCAAGGTATCATTAAAAGTTTCACCTACAAAAAGAGACTTTAAAACATTGTATAGCCTGCTTATACATAATACAAGTAAAACTACTAGGAAAATAGTTTTAAATTGTCAGATTATGAATTCGTGGCTGCATTAGGATTTATCTAAGCTCTGGTAAAGGCAGTGGATAGCACTTAATTATCTGTAATTAATTACTATAGTGCAAACCAAATAATGTAAGAAAATAAAATAAAAAAATGTTTTCTAAGTTTCAGATTTGTAATTTAATTCATAAGAAGAAACTGAATAAGAGGAGGCAGCTTGGAATAAGCAATCAGCTTAGGCCTCTTACAATTAAAACTGCCCCAGGAAACCAAAATACTTTTTTTTTAACTAAAAAAGAGAGATGCCATGTTACAGTATGAAAGCATCCACAGCTAGATTATTAACCAACTTTACAACGAATAAATCATGCTTCTGTTGACGGTTCATAATATGATTATAGACAACTTCAATATATAGGATAAACCAATTCTTCATTTAGTATTTTGACTACCAAACTTATAAACATGCATGTTTAGTCATATAACCCTAGATGCAACAACTGATAAATGATAAAACAGGCTGTATATTTGAAATAAAGCTTTTTGTTTTAAAAATATTAATATGTATTCTCTGTAAGAAGCATTCTTATTTAATATTGTACACATTTTTAAATTATGTGCATCTTTAGTATAAACACAGAACTGTATTCCCCACGTTTCTTATAATTTTTTCAGTTAAATCCTAATTAAAACATTTAATGCATTTCTGGAGTCTCAAAATATACACCCTGTGAAATGAGATATTAAGTATGTAAATTAGTTTTATTTAAAGTAGAAAAATAGGTTAAACCTAGCATGTAATGACACACATACACACTTAAGTTTATTCCAGAACTTTGCATTGATAAAATCAGAGGAAACTGATTTTTATTCTGATTTAGGATTTTCACTTAGTGAGTTATTTCTCGGTGTCTTGTGTGAAATACGCTACGCTCTTCCTAGAGTAGTATAACAAACAAATACATGTGTAAAGTTGAGAATTGAGACCTCTATTACCAAACCAGCTGAAATCTATAACTAAAAAAACACTATTGAAAAGACTCTTTAAACCTGTGGTAAATTTACCAGCATCAAGTCCCACATCAAAGAAAGAATTCAGGAAGACAGAAAGAATGATACTTGCAAGGATTTACAAATACTTCACATAAACAAATTGTCAAATAGCTTTATTCAGAGTAGCCTTTCTGCTCTATTAAACACAGCAAACAGCTGCCAGATTTATTCAGACAAACAATCAACAACCATAGAAGTAAAATGGCAGAAGAAAAAGGAATTTTGGCAACAACTCCACAGAGGACCACAGCTATTCTCCAAGTGCACCTCTTCCGTGCACTTACGGTTCTGTATGGCTAGTCAGGGAAAAATCCCTTGGTCACAGCACAGCACAAAAAATTTGACCGAAGTATAAACTATACGAAAGCAAAGCCGAGGGAGAGAAAGGGCATATGTAATCTGCTGCTTTAGACAGACTTTAGCTGCAATTTTCAAAAAAGGAAAATCCCCTTAACAACAAATGTGCCAAAGCCTCATTCTGTCCCTTGGGCGCCACTCACCTTGGTTTGCTGAGCAGGTGTAAAGCAGAGAGGCAAGCTTTAGCCAGCAAAGGGTAAGAATAGCAAATATAAGAATGAATTCAATTTGTCAGCAGAAAAATAAAACCACAAGGATACTTTTCTTCTATAGCAATGATCAACATCCAAGAAAAACAAATACAAAGATAGATTTAGTCATTTTTGTTTATCACTTAAAAATAAGGCAGAGTCTGGTATGAGATTTTCTTTTTTACAGTCTGGTATGATAATTTCTTGGTGGGATTCTTCTACAGCATGTCTTTTCATCATTGTGGATAGCAAAGGGTTACAGCCACAAAAACAAAAAACAAGAAACTTTGGCAGTACAACGATGCCAGGAGGCATGCTCCTCTCCTTATGTTTAGACATTTGTCTGTGCTTAGCACATGGGGTCGCTATGAGTTGAAATCGACTGGATGGCACCTAACAAAAACAAAAAAGAACTTTCTAGAAGCTTGATGGATATAATTTAATGACCTCAAAATAAAGGGATCTTTGTTTGATAACCCCTTCTAGGAAAAATAAAAACATCCTAGATTCACATAAAATCTTAAAAATGGCAGACTATGGCATTTAAATATACCCTAGTTTTATAAATGTTATCCTTAATTATACAAATAAAATCAGACAGATTTATTTCCCCTTACTCATGTAAGAAAAAACACTCATATTTATTAGAAGGTATGCATGACTCTGGGCCAACTACAGGATATTAATACTTGCATTATGCTGAAAATATTTTCTTTTCAGGGGCATATTTTAAAATGTTCCAGCTCTGATATATTCTGACAACACAGCATTTCTTTAATATAGAGTTAGGTAAAAATAATAGAGGTATTTTTATGCTGTAATTGGGACTTTATTTTGGAGGGTAAGGCACTTTAATGTGTGGAGGGAAAAATACATTAGTAGTACGTGAAAAACAATTCTATAATGGAAGAAAATGCAGAAACATACCATTTACAGTCATAGAGCTTTGGTAGGTCCCAAATTCCTGGCATTTTCACTAATATAAAACACAATAGTATACCAGGTTGCTAAAACACAACTCCCAAGATTGAAAAGATGATTCAGAATCAATTTATTATTTTAACAACATATTAATCCATTTTCAAGTATGCCAGGAATGTAGACAAACATATACTTTTAAGGTTATTTTGTAAGAGCAAAGCATTAGCAGAAAATTGGAAGGTTGTGCACTGACATCTATTAATGGCTATGTATATATGGTAATTTATTTTAGAAATTGGCCAGGGGAATGAACACATATTACTTGGGATGCAAATTTCTAGTAAACTGTAGTAACCTCTTACCTTGCTCTTTCTTAAAATCTTTCTCTGACATGGCTACAGGTAAAAGTAGTTCTCCAACAGGTGGCTGAATACTAACATTGAAGCAATCATCCTTGGTACTAAGGAGAAAACACAACACGTTTAGCTGACTAAATGTTTAATAAGTAGACATTCTTAATACTATGCAGCTAAGGAGATGAAATTAAAGCAAATACCAGCATATAAATTATAATATCTTCTTGGCTTAAATATCATAGCTAAAAAAGGCTTGAAAAGTTTCTCAATCAACATTATTTCCAGAAAAAATACATCTGTGTCATTCAAACAGAAAAGATTCTTTCACAAAAATATGAAGCTACAGTAAATTATACCATTTGACACACAACTTTTAAAAACAGGTAAGCAGCCAAGGATATAAAACTACTCCCAGAGGAGCACTTCATGTAGATTATGGAGTAGAGGAGTAAGATTTTATCTTGTCTTCGTATGCTTCAAGTACAGAAAATGAAGTGATTAAACCTTAAATGGTTAAGATTTCTATTTGAAAAGATTATATTTGCTTTTTCATAAAGAATAAAATGGAGTAATCACACTTTGTTTAGGTACATGCTAATAAAATATCTCATCTGCAAACTTGTCTTTACAAAAACCCTTACTTTCTAGCTGTTATTTTGTGCCACTGATTCCCATTCATAGTGATCCTATAAAAAAAACCCGTTGCCGTGGTGTCAATTCTGACTCAGCGACCCTATAGGGCAGAGTAAAACTGCCCCATAGGGTTTCCTAGGCTGTAATCTTTATGGAAGCAGATCACCAGGTCATTTCTCCTGTGGAGCAGCTGGTGCGTTTGAACTGCTGACCTTTTGGTTAGCAGCCGAGCACTTAACCATTGAGCAACCAGTGCTTCTTAATTTTCTAGTAGTTACGTGTTAACATGCAGGAGAAAGATGTGGCAGTGGCAGTTTGCTTCCGTAAAGATTATAGCCTTGGAAATCCTATGGGGTTGTTCTACTCTGTCCTATAGGGTCGCTATGAGTGAGAATCCACTTGACAACAATATGTTTTATTCATTACCATTACTGATCAATATGTGGGAAAAGCTATTATTTCAAATTACAACTTTGTACTTAGATCAATATTGAGGTGCATTTATTTAGTTTAAATCTCATGACATTACTAGCAGCTAAAAAATACTAAATCTGCTTTAAAATTTTTAAAAAGTTAGATGTTTTGTTAGATGTCTGAAGTTAGGTAGATAAGTGTATCAGTTAAGAACGTTTGGCTACAAATAAGCACAAAATCCAACTAACAGTTTCTTTAGTAACAGGCGCTTACTGTTTAGTGTACAAGAAGTCTGGGAGTTAGCAGTGGTTGGCTTAATGGCTTAATGATGCTATTAAGGACCCAGGTTTTTTTTTGGCCATCCTTAGAGTGCTGTTTTCATCCTCATGGCTGCCATATGGCTGCTGCATCTCCAGCACCACTTTTGCATTCCACTGAAGAAGAATGAGTGATGATGAAGGAATAATGAATAACTGAGCCAAATGTGTTCCTTTTTATCAGGAAAGCTTTTCTTTGCTGAAAGTCCCACTGAATGGACTTCTACTTCCATGTTTTCCCACGGTCAGTGGGAAAGTGGCTAGGGAGATAGAGACTGTGGATAATACCAAATATCTAGATTAAGAGATATTTGAATTTATTGAAGGTGGAGTAGAGAGAAACAATATAATATGAAGAAAGGACATAAAATCCAGCTTTACTGTTTATGTTATTATGTACTGTATTCTTGTAAGCTGGTTTATTTATTTTTTAATGGAAGATGGTATGGACAAGATCAAAAAATAAATGTTTTAAGTTTTTCACATGTGGATTGTCTAAAGCAAACCAATAAATCCAATCTGTTTATTAATTCAATAAATATTTCCTGAATACAAACTTGATTACATGTACTATGTGAGATTCTGAGAATTTAAAAAGAAATGATGTTCCACATTCCACCTTGGTGAGTAGCATCTGGGCTCTTAAAAGCCTGTGAGCAGCCATCTAAGATATTCCACTGGTCTCACCCCTTCAGGAGCAAGGGAGAATGAAGAGAACAAATACAAGGAAAAGATTAGTCCAAAGGACTAATCGACCACAGCTACCACGGCCTCCAACAGACTGCGTCCAGTACAGCTAGATGGTGCCTGGCTACCACCACT